AAGATATTTATGTTTATATATATATATATATATATATATATATTATAAGAAGAAAAATCAGGATAAAAATAATGTGTACAAATTTTAGAAATATGTCCCAAAGCAATAGAATAAATCCTAGGCCGCAAGCTTGAGTCCATGCATAAGCAATTCAAACATAATTAGTTATTTCATATTCATCACTTACCTGTTTTATAACAAAATTAATCTTCATTTGGCATAACCATAGGCACAATAACATAATCGTTCAATTTCATCTATATCAGGTTCTAATGCCCAAAGTCAACTTGCTTCAAGTGTAGAGAATATTTCTCTCGGTTCATTAGTAAGACCTTTGAAGACGTCGTAAACACCTTGATTGTGGAAAATAGCACAAAGTAGGTAATCCCCTGCTTGAGCCTGTTCATCCCTTTCATGTCCCTCAACATGTTTATAAACAGAAAGAAAGGCATACTAAAAGCTTTGTCAACAGCAAACATTTACATGGTTGACATGTGTTGCCTAAGAGATGAAATGGCTCAGCCTTGTGAAGGATTCATTTGTTGAGCATGTTGTTGAATATGTGTATACAAAAGTGTCAAATGGATACATCAAATAATTTTTAAGTTGCATTATAATGGATTGGATAAAAAATAATCTATTAATCTATTTAGATTTACTAAAAATTATTTAAAAACCTAATATATTTGATTCATTTAAGGAAGAAAAATAAAACTATTCAATCCATTCATTAATTTTTTTTAAATGGATGGATATTTGATCCATCTATGAAATTGTTTTAAAATTTAAATATTTTAAAAAAATCTTAAAAAATATTATAATTCATTATATTATTATATAATCTTTAATAGTTCAAAAATATTTTTTTATGTCAAAATAGTCTTTTAAATCTTAATCAAATACCCTCACTTTATTTAATCCAATGAATTTTAAAAAATAGTGAATAGATCAATATCAATCCATAAAATTAAAATGATGGATTAGATTCAATCTATCATTGTTATATTTGTATAATGGAAGAATTGAATGGATTTACTTATGAATGAATTAGATGGATGATTGATAAATGGATTGTTTTGTCACCCCTAATATACAGTCATCCGTCACAATAGTTATGATGTTGGAGGCATTAATCCTCAATAAAACTTTGTCTACAACACGTCTCCCTCTAGCACCTTTCACGCAATTCTAATGAATCTTAACACCTTCATATAAATATCATGTAGCAGTAGCAATTTTGGGAATGTTGACTCGCATAACCTTCCTAAGAATACTTTTTGTCTGAGTATGCCCAAACTCAAAGGTGTTCCAAAAATCTCACACTAGTTCAAGGTGAACCACTTTCTTTAGGTATCATAAGTAGGGTATTCTTCCTACTATTAAGCAAGTCTACGATAGGAATAACCATATTTTGAGGTACCCAAATGACCTTTGGTCTTTTTTGTTTGTCATGAAGATATTAGATGCCTTCCTATGATGATGCAATTGTGTGGGTCTCTCTTTGTAAGGTCTAAATGCCTTGCTAGAGTGGGAACTGGATGTTTTTCCTATGAATGGCTTGGACACCTTCCCTAAGGGATCATAATGTGTCCCCCCTAACTTGTCATAGTTATTAAGAGTATACTCATTCTGATTAGACTCCTGATAATATAAAGGAGGTTTAGACTCCTTAGATACCCTATCTTATCAAGATTTTCACTCCCAATGACAATCTTCGCTAAGCTTATGCTCAGAATGTCAACTTTCTTTTGAAGTTCAATTCCTTCATTAGGAGGTACACTATCTGGAGGCTTTCTCAGAACCTTTTACTTATCATTCTCTTTTATTAATATAAGGAGTATCCAATAAGCAAATCAACAAAGGAGTCAAAGCAAATAAACATATCACAAAACAACCAATCACACATCACATTAGAGTACACACAAAACATGCAGTCACGAAACTAACACAGTTTGGCTTGAATTAACCAAGTTTTGATACCACTAAATATAATACCTTCTACCCCACATATACAATAACTATAATAAAGACATTTTTTAACTAAAAATTAAGTTCATATACGAATAACCAACTAAATAGTATCAACTCTGAAGGACACCACATAACAAATAAACATGTCACTAAATCCAACAATAACCTATACTAAAACATTACAAAATAAATCCAAGACTATGTCCCTAAATACAATTGAACAACATGAATACCAAATCCTAACTATGCCTTGATGTCACATCCTATCAAAGTATTCTCACATAAGGTCTAAGCCTCGTCACTAGCATCATCAACATCATGATGAGTCTCACCTGCAATAGCATACATATAAAATAACACACAAAAAATGGAGAATGAGAAACATTTCACTCTAGCTCACGACATAGAATAAGATCAGATAGTCCAACACACAATAACAAGATATCATCATCATCATATATTGTATACAACTAAACTATCAACAACAAGGTACAAATACATCATCCACAATTTGCCACATCATTCATCTTAATTACTCAATACACAATATGTATTTGCACACGAGATGCAATGGACATGAACTATGATTTGCATATATATGTGCTTCTAATCATATATATATATATATATACACACACACACACACATATATATATATATATATATTGTGTGTTCGTGTGTATGTATGTATGTATGTGTGTGTGTGTATATGTATTGATTTGTCGACTTGTCAATTCATGTGCATATGATGCATATCACACAAGACTCAATGCAATATCATATTATTACCATCCATATTCATAATTGGTCAATTTGTCATCACATAACCTTCACAGGATCCACACATATCAATTTGTCAAGTTTTCTATATTATTTCACATCATTTACTTCAATCATAACTTGAGTTTTAGATCCTTGTTTTAAGATGATTCCAACAAAATTTGAAAGCTAACATCTAGGGCTACAACTTTCATGAAAATCACAAAAGAAAATCCGGCCATTTATTGGCTTAAGTGAGCCAATCATTCACTTAAGTGAGATCAACTTGCTCAGAGCTAGATAAAACTTGCTTAGAGCGAGGGTTACCTAAAACTCTCTTTCAGGACTCGCTTGAGTGAGACTATGGCTTCTTAAAGCGAGTTACAATGGTTGTGAAATTATTATATTGTTTATAGGGTTCCAACCTTCCCTACACCATTCCTTAACACCTTCAATCCAAATCCAATTGGTAAGAGCATCCAAAGGTAAAGTTACACTTCTAAAAGGAACGAATTACACATAAGCACATGCTCAAACATCTCCTTATACAATCACCAAATGAATTCTCAGGGTTCCCATAAGAATCCATGGGCAATCTAAGATTCACGAGATTAGTTCAATATACTAAATTAGTAATGCATATACATTCAATACTTTACAAAGAGAGTTGAAGAATCATATGGAAGAAAAAATTACAACATGAGTCACACATTGTATTTTTTCCCTCATACAACATATATAATAGAGAAGAAATTGGAAGTCGATCTTACTATCCAACAATTATCTCAAGCCTAGAGCAAGATTACTCGCCTCCTTACCTTGGTGAACACTAGTCGAAGGATATGGATCTTCGGGATGATCTCCTTCTTGATCTACAGGCAGTTCTTTAACGCATAGAGAAGAAACATAAGAAATACGAGAAAGTGTAAAAAGGAAAACTGACGTTAATCCCTTTAAAAACTTTCCAAATCATGTTTAACCCTTTAGTAAAACACTTTAACCATAGTCACACTTCCCTTTTCTCAAATATTAAAACTTATAAATAATATATAAAATAAATATATTTCTCCCAATATAATTATAATTAAAATAAAATACATAAAAAATTATAATAAAAACACATATTTTTCTCTAAATACTTATTATAACAAAATATCATAGAAACACATATTTCTATGATAAACATTGTACAAAAAAATTTTCCAAACATTTATTAAAAACACCCATAATTATTAAAAGCCTTTAAAATATTTTTTAAAATTCATTTAATTGATCAAAGCATCATTTTTAATAATTTTAGAAAACTTAGGGTGTTACAACTTTTCTGAAGTTAGCGAAAAAACACATAGAAGGGGGTTTAATATGTGTGTGTGAACAAATGTATTTTTAAAATCATTTTCGCAAGAGTAATGTTCTTCGTCCAATGTACTTTTAGATCTTAGACGGTTATGCAAAATTTGCTTAACACAAGGTCATTGCGTCTGAAAGATTTATTTTCTACTGAGGAAAATGGTTTATGATAATAATTAAAGTTCTTGCATTTTCCTTTTCAAGATAGTTTCATTTAAGGATAAGCAGTAGATAAAACTTTTCAGTATAATATATTTGTTAAACAAAATTTGCGTCTTCGTCTGAAAAATGGTTTTAATGAGGAGTAGACAGTAGACGAAGTTTTTAACATGATTTGTCAATTAAGAAGAGTTTGCATATGAAATATAGATAAAACAGTGTAATCATTTTAA